CCTGCCTTAATACTCTAACGATAACATTAAATACTCCTGTCTTTGAACATGACAGTCCTGTGACTAACTGATTGATATTCAGGTTTGATGTAGTGATTTTGTTGATGTAATTAACCTTCACTGGTTACATCCCCAATTGCAGAAATTCATCCCCCAATTTCGTGACCTGAAAGGTCAATGTGTGACCTCACAGCTCAACTTGTGTCCAGAAATCTGACCACCAGATGGGCTGTCCAGCATGAAACTGACAGCACATTCGGCCAAGGTGCTAGCCATTCCGAATAACACCTCTCACAAAAGATCAAATATATTGGGATTTAATCTGGTTACACTTTGAGCTTGAAGTGTCATTAATACCAAAGTATTGTAGCAGCAGCTGGCTTGCACAAGACAACATGAAGTCCTGTTACAGAAGTAACGCCACCTCGCTGTCACAAGTGTAAGTCCGACTGCAAGTCAAGTGTTTGTCAACTGCCTGCCATCTTGACTTGATTAGCTAAACATTAATTAGCCAATTAGCTCGTTATTTCAACCACTAGTCAATTTTCCCACCCTGATTTTGCTGGGGAAAAATCGAGTGACTAAAATATTCATGACGGAAAGAAGGAGAGGTGGACCCTTAATCAAATTTGCTGGAACTGTTTTAAGACAATTACTAAACAGAAAAAACTATTTAAGACCCACTCTTGACATAAAGGATATCCTCTTGAATAAATCATAATCTGTTTTCTTGTGACTTCAAACGAGTCTTAAGAATCTTAACGATGTTTTTGCTCCTTTTTTTTCAAAAAACATTTTTTCACAATATAATTATTTTGAACTCACTTCAAATCTATTTTCAAAACTGAAAAATCTGAAAGTGACAATAAAAATTTCAAAAAGTACAAAATAAGAAACAAAAAAGACTTTTACAGTAATTGAAACAGTTAACTCACAAATATTTGTAGAATGTGGTTGAATAGCTTTGGGAAAATAGCGTATTTCTTCAAGTCCATTTTTTCACAAACAAAGAGCTCGTGCAATCACAGCATTATGCTGGGCACATGCCTTCTAATTAGGATTTCTCAGTCGGGAGAGACCAGACAGCACTCCTCAAGTGCATGTCAATTTTCCTCAACGACATGTTTCAGTTATTTTCTTAAATTTGTAAATTCACTTTTTAAACGGAAGACATCCCACACTTGAAAATCCAAACCTTTACGTTTTACAACAACAAATGAACAAACACAACTGGCAAGCTGTCTCATTCATTCCACGTTTCTCCACAACACAGGAATCTGTTTCTCTCTGTATATCCACTTTTAAGTACTGTAACAATTAAAGTCAACTTAGCTTCAACCAGTGCATTACATTAATTCAATATGGCCAACGATCCCATCAAAACCGCATAAAGTACGTATTTCGGGCAGACAAATCGTTGAAAAACTAGGTCTCTCAATGAAAACAGGTAAAGTTTCAAAGCAAACCAAATTATCTGTAAGAAAAACAAGCCTATCGAGGGAACCTCCACATAACAACAGTTTAGTGGTAATCTTGATCTGTGTATCCACCAACCAAACAAGATGAGTATCCTGAAGAGGCTTGTCAGATTGTCGAGTGAGAGTAAAGCTACCCAGAAATTAGCCCCCAACCCTGAAACAAGCCAGCTGGATACCCCTCTTCTTCATCAATAAATTACCTGCTCTCTTGGCTAAAATAAAAGGTGGTCTGTTTGCAGGGAAGCTTCTAATTACACCAGAAACCTCCAGCTGTGAGGAGCTTGACAAGAGATAAGATTTCTAGGCTGGGGACAATCACTGGTTGTAACATCTGACTGGTGGTTGGTAAGCTGCCATATCTGCACTTTGGAGTGTCAAACAAAATTCTTGGTGACATCCAACAGAAAATAGCTTTGTCTTTTTGTTTACAGATTTCAGGCAGTGGCTTGAAACGCTTATTGAAGCTGGCTTGTTCAACTCGCATAATTTTTCCTCCTCTTTTAACTTTGGCCAAAGTTCCATCAAGTCTAAGCAGGAGGCCGGTTTCCCCTGAGATACAGATTGATTCCCAAATTGAAGAGTATGTCTGCTCTGTGAAGACATGATTCCAAGTGACTGGACCGGCATGTTTTAGGGTGGGGTCTCTGTCAGCTTGCTGTGGGCTTGTGGATGTTGACAATCTTCCCTCAGCCCTATATCAATCATTGACAACACTAATCACACACAAACTACGCCTCCCTCCACATGTGAAATGTGGAAAAGCTTAAAAGGCTCAAGACTGAAGTTTGTTCTTGCTCTGGATGAATTAAAGAAAAACCTGCTTTTTATGGCAAAACACATGTGTTTCCACACACACCAATCAGTCATCCACCTATCCCGTCTGAACCACAAAGCAGTGTTAACTGCTGAATCATATAACAGTCAACATGAAGACTTCACATACAATACATGTAAACTCATATGTGCCCTTGGGTCGTATGACGTCACGAGTCATCAGTGTATTGTTTCCGTCATCCAGATGGCATGGTTGACGTCATTGAATCTTATTGTGACGTGAGGTAGGAGTGAGTGAGTGAGTGAGTGAGTGAGTGAGTGAGTTGGGTTTAACGCCGCTTTTTAACAGTATTCCAGTTATATCACGGCGTGTCAGCTTAATGTGGTTTCGGTGAAACCCACGAGCACGGGTATGGTGCTGACAAACCTAGAAACATAATCGGGGCGAACCGGGATTAGAACCCACGATCATAGGTTTCTGGCGTGGCCAAGGGATGCAACTCTGCACAGCAAATCGCGGTGCCTTAGACGTGAGGTAGGAATGGCGTCACACTAAAAACTATGTAATAGCAGAAGATTGATGCCATCATTCAACAAATTGTGGTTGTGCTGTCCTTATAGGTAAACACTAAAATTTGTCTCTGTATGTAGACATCTTCTTAGGTAATAAATAGAACATTATATTGCTTGAGAAATGCCGGAATTTAGACACTCGTGTTGTAAACATAGTATGACATGAACGCTCATATGATATCCTCTATATCTTATCTTATCAAAGGTGTGTATAGAGGCTAATGACAGGGCACAGTGTCTTTAGGTTTTCATTAGCTGTGTTTTTCATTGCATCTGCTCTCTAATGGAATGTATTGCAATAAATATTCATACCATAGGGCCCCACAACTGTGACTGAACTTTATCATAGTTTTATAAAATATCATCAATGTGTTTTGGACATAAATTTTGCAGTGTTTTGGCAAGTTTTTTTAGCTTTTAAGCATTTTGATTTGTAATTTATTTTTTCAAATCCAATTTGCAAGTGTATGCTTTTTTTTGCCCGGTAGTTTGCTAAAGTAAACAAATTGTCCAGAGAAACCCCAGTTTCTCACACTGACTGTGAAAGAATAGGTTTAGACAGCTAAATGGTGGTAGAAACGAAGTAATGATGAAATAGTCAGGAAATCTTGTAATTGAAAATATTTGTAATTTCTACTTTGGATATTATAACCACTATGGTTAAGGCTATAGGACTAGTGCCAGTTCCTTACACTGAACTGACCATTGAGAAATAATGGGTGAATTCAGGGACACCACAAACATAATTCAAAATATTCTTCAAAGTTTTGAATATTAAACACAAAATAAAAACTGCAACTTCCCTAAATTGACAACCTTTTTTTTGATCATTTCACCAGGAAACTTCAATCCCTAAAGCATCATGAACCGTTTGCATCCTGATTCCAGAACACGACAACCTGCCTGCTATCCCTATGACAATGTCCACAGACTCTGTTTCCTCATATTTCATAATAGCTTCTGAAAAAAAAAGCTGGCAATGTGAGCCTAACTTCTCCCAGTTGAGTCACGAAACACCATCCCAGGATTACCTCTTCAAAGACCTCATCCACCCCCCTCCTCTCCCTCCTATTCCTCCGTCACAATACTGGGGACACATATGTCATACATTTCCACCATTTCCACAATTTCCACAGCAATCAAACATCTTCTGCTCCTGCTTTGTTTCAAAACACATTTCATGGCGTCAACATATTTATCTGAGAAAATGATGTCTGAATTTTTCTACCTATGACCAAATGTTTAGCATTAACCTTTTAAAAGTCAGATTATCAAAGATCTTGACAAACAGAATGCTAACATGCATCCAGGCATGTGAAAGGCCATTCCTTGCACTTTCAGGAGAAAGGTGATACCCCTACTTGTAAAAACTTTCAACTTCCAAACTGAAAAAATACAACTTTGAAGCTTCCTTGCTGTGAAGCTCCAAACGTGAAGTTTATAAAAATAAAACTGTTTACCATAAATACATCTGTACAGTGATGAGGGGAAACCATGGTCTGAAAGTTACACTATATACACTTTGATCCACTGGGATGCCCCTGTTTCAAATATGGGGATTCATATTGTTTAAGTTCAGTGTTTAAAATCTGACTCCATAATTGGTTAACCAGCTTGAGAAAAACCTGCAAGGGCATACCTCATAAACAGACAGTTCATTGAGAAGACGCGGGGCACCAAAAGATGAGGAAAACTGTCTGACTCCGGCACAGGGGAACATCAGAAGCTCTGATGAATCTCAGCTTCTTGTCAGGTCTATTGTCTGATACCCAACAACTCACTGACTGGGACTATTTTCCAGAATTTTGTCAAAAAATGAGTCTCGCGTCAAACCGTTTTCATGGCAGGGTTAAGTTTAGACATATGAGAAAATTCCCGTCGGACAGAAAGAAGAACAGCGGGTCTGGCAATAGTTGAATTTCTGTCAGATCTATTGTCTGGCAGGGAAAAATAAATTTCATCATCTCTGGGACATCGAGTCAGAATGCATGATTTGCACATGCATTCACTTCCCATGCATTGCATGGCCATCTGTACCCAGCAACAAAATACTCAAGTCTTCTTCTTTGAATGCCGCATTTCCTTGAGATTAAGCAGTAGATCAAGTCAGCTGACAACTAATTTTAAGAGAGAAAAAATACCATGAGAAAATAAATTGTAAAAAAATATTCTCACCTTGACTGTTGCTTGAGGTTCAGTTAGCCGTGAGGTAACAGAGGCGAAGTTTGATGATAGTTGTTGGTAGCGACTCTTGAATGGTTTTTCTTTCACTTGGTAGTGGGCAGGGCCAGGTTTCTCTACCTCGTCCTTCTTTGCAATGGCTTGGATCCTGGTGGATGTTGTCCCGAACACCCCTCTGCGCGTACTCTCCAAGTAGGCCTTCCTCATGCTCTCTGCACCCATACCACCGATGTTGTACGCTCCGGGACCTACAATTACAACTTGATCACTTTAGATTGAGTTTGAGTTTCAGGTAAAAAGTTGCTGTTTTTAATTACAATGAAATCTGAATCTCAGTCTGGAAACCTCAGCTTCTGGGCACTTTCAGAGTGTCATGTTTTTACACATAAAGGGAGATCACTCTGTACCCATGTTTCGTTAATCCTGTTATCTGTTAACCCTGACCGTGGGAATAGAGGGTGAGTTGGGTTTAACGCCGCTTTTAACAGTATTCCAGTTATATCACGGCGTGTCAGCTTAATGTGGGAGGAAAGCCCGAAGTGATGCAGGTCTCAGACGTTTACCACTTCGGTGAAACCCACAAGCATGGGTATGGTGCTGACAATCCTAGAAACATAATCAGGGCGAATCAGGATTCAAACCTGCAATCATAGGTTTCTGGCATCATAGGTTTACCAAGGGATGTAACTCTGCACAGCAAATAGCAGCGCCTTAGACAACTGAGCCCTGTGCCCCCGACTATGGGAATAACATATATTAGTCTGGATAATAAATAGTAATAAAATAAAACTGTTTATCAAATAAGATTTGAAGTTATAAGGTAAAAAAATCAAAAACAAAATTGGCCAAAATAATATAAACAACTAACATCCTTTTCCATGCCAGCACCTACAAATGTGCAAAAATAATTCTGAATCAGGGTTGAGGCATTTACTGACTTGCACTAGCAAATCGTGTGCACATTATCCAGTAAATGTTTTCTATCCCCTTGAAATAAAGAATGAGGTGATACATTAAGAATGAATGATTTATACCAAGTGAACAGTTGATGTCAACACAGGGAAGTGCTTGTACCGTGGCAGAATCTAAATGTAGCTCTGCTCCACATTTCGCCTACAATGCCTGATTTATTACCCCAGTTCTTGTTTCTTAGCACAGAACAACTGCTCGTGCAGCTCGGATATCATACATGCATGCATTAACTTCACATACACATTTGTTAACCAATTTCCCAACAATGATAACTTATGAAACTGTTCTACGTAAATTATCCACTTATTATTCCACATCATGAATGCCTTGGTTACATGGTCAAACACGTCATTGGTTGTGTTATCATGGTGATACTGATGACTCTTATAACCTTCTTCTTCATCTTGATGAAGAGAATTATAGGATGTATTTACCATCCAACTACTCAACACAACTGTAAAACGAATGGGAGTCAGTGCTGCAGTCTGATTGATTGAAATGTGTTGGTTACATTGGATTTGAATCCTGGAAATTTCCAGGACTATTCACTGCATATTCTTAATCTGTCACATATTGCAAATTTGAAAAATGTGCCACTTGGCATGGCAATGAAAATTCTGTACCAACTCTATATTGCATTTAATTCATACTTAAATTTATATCAATCAACATAAATATATTTCAACATCAAAATTATTCACTCAATAAAAGGAATATGATATGATTCAACACAAAATATATATTTATTATATATTTTTACCATGTTTACATTTCTAATGTAATATTGTTTTTCAAATTATTTGTAGTCAATAAATAACAATCATGTTATGATCTCCCACTCAATTCCATTGTAATTCTCCGATCCAGAACTGAACACTTTCCTCCTTACACCACTACAGTCCTTGGCAAGACTTACAAACAAAGGGAGACAACTCTTGCCCAACATGGAGATTATCTGAAGAGAGGGATTTTACCTGGTGTCTTCTTGACTGGCCCTTCAATGTTGAAACGGACAGACGTCTGACCAAACGGGCTTCTCTTCAGCCCCGTCACACGCTTTAGGGAATCCAGTGCCGATCTCGGGTCATTATACACCCCGGGGGCAGGGGTGATTGTCTTCAGTGGTTGAAATCTCTACAATGAACAAATGAATATTTTTCATGACACTTGTGCACCCACATGAAGCCTGGTAGAAGTGTCTTATCTTTTCAAGTTATCACAAAATACCTGCCATGATTGTACTCACACACACTGATTGTAATTTGCACTCACTTTTGATTGGGACATGAATGGTGGGTGCTCGACTTCAATTCCATCTGTATTAATCTTTGGGTGTGGCATTTCAAACTGGCCTTTTATCTCATATTTCCCTGGCCCGGGTATTGCCTGGAAGAAAAACAAAGTCTTTGTTTTAAAAAAACCCATTTGTATACTTTTAAGATGAAAGCAAACAATAACGACAAATATAAAAAAAATAAAAAAATAATTAAATAACAGCAGGGATCTAAAGTGTCATCAAAGCATTGAACGTTCTGTATGGGCATTTATTGCTATCAATAGCAACACCCTTATTCATGAATTAAAATTTATATGCTAACAGTATGAGAAGGAAACGCAGCTTTTAGCACGTCAAATTAGATTGTAAACTGTTCAAAGGGATATTATCATTCTGCATAGCAGCGTGTGCTCTCTGTTTCAAACACAAGCCATTCAACACAAATATTGTCAAAATGTTCACATGCAGATGTGATTAAATTTGTTCCGTATTCAAAGCAACATTTCCAATTTGATCACAAACTGTGATTTAAAATAAAAAACAAAACACTTCTCATATATCATTTACCACTTATCTGCCAAGCTACTTGAATAATTAGCATGCAATTTTCTACCGCATGCTATATGCGTGTCATAATTGGAGATTTATTGCTGGAGCTTAAACTATAAAATGATAGCTCTCACAGTGCTTCACCCTAAATCAAAGTAATATCACTTCTGAATGTGCACTATGACGAATTATCTGAGAGGAAAACTGTATGATTTTTGTGACTGCCGCCTCTCCTTCATGTGTTTATTTATGGTCATGGGACTCCGCCATGATAAAGTAGAGCCAGGGGGTATAGAAAGTTGATGTGGAGAAACTGTGAGAAAAAAACCTCTACACTCTAGACTGGTCCCTTGCTTATGGGCGATAATTGAAACCATATTTCACCAATAGAAGAAAAAACAACTGGATAACAATAACCCCCTGTTCTTAAATAGCCAGAAAAAATAAATGGTAAAGTCTTACAAACTCAATGACACGACCCTACATCTACACACAATCTACACATAGGCAATGCCCAGATTGCTGTCATGTTTCTGAACAGCTGGATGTTGATTTCATGGACAAGTGTGTTGATTGTGCTTGCACATGTATTACAAATTCTTAATGTTTTTCAAACAGATTTATTATTTAAGTTTATAATAGGTGACATTTTCCCCAGAAGAGGATAATGAGGAGCCCCCATCATTAAATGTAACCATGGTAACATGAGTACACAAGCACACACACAGTGGCCCTGTTTGAAAATATAGATTTAAATGTAAATATTATGGTGAAATTTGATAAGAAATAGAGCATGTCCCCTGGAAGGAACGTTTGTTGATAACAGAGTGTCAAAATATATAACATACTGCCAAAATGGCAAAGCGTCATTGCATTTTTATCAGCTGTTTATTTCCCTAAAATCTCACCCCGGCTTCCATGGCAGGTCATACAACTATGCTTTTAACCTTATGTATATCACAGGGTAATGGATTCTATAATAAACACATCAAAACATTTGTTTGAAATAAGATTTGCTCTGGGCTTTTACAAATTCTGACTTAAATCTACGTTAAAAGTATACAACCCTGGCAAGACAGTTTCAACATTCCATTAGCAGTATTATAACATCTGCAAAATCAATTTGGTAAACTATGATAAAAGACATGGTAATGCCAGGTCAGAATTCATCCCAGTCCTGTCATAATTGTCAGTATGCACTGAGCTTGTTAGTCAAGTTTGATTAAGGTTTCGGTGCTATCTAAACTTTCCACTCTAATGGACTGAATCATCTTCCAGGTTTTAACCATTTTTTCCTCGTTTGTATCAGTATGACCAGTTGACAGACTCTAACTAAACGTTATTTATAATTGGAAATATTTCTTGCCATCAAAGTGAACAAATTATCAGGGAATCTTTAAACTAGGAACAGTTGGCACCAAGATTTGACAAGGCTGAGAAATATTCCTCTTGGAACGAGAGTGCACGGCTAGAGCAAGGGATCACACATTTGGATACCAACATGTCAGGGATTTGGTTGCCACAAATTATGTCGGAGTCTTTTGACTGGCTTCACGTCACTTCGTGGTCTTCAAAGAGTGTAAGAAGCACAATGAAAGAGAGACTTAATCGTGTAAATTGTGACTCATACATTCCTGACAACTAATCTGAAAATTATGATCTAATTATGGAAGTTACTCCTCCAGACACAAGTGCCTAGGTCTAGTTTCTTATGCCAGAGACGGTAGCTTCCACAGAGTCTTTACAGCAGCAGTTCCACCATTGGCGTGTAGACATAAATTTCATCTTCTCACATCAAACTGCCTCTACTGACACCAAGTGGAATATTTAAGATAAATTTGGAATAAATCGAGTTATCTCAGTCGTAAATCTCATGCTGAAAGTACTTCGCATAAAATGTGTAATTAGACGTACATTTCACCTAGGTTATAAATGCAAGCATTAAAAAGGAAATTGATTTGTCATTAACTGTCCAATGGGAATGGTGTTTTCACAAGATTACTGGTATGGTCATCAGTCCATTAATAGAACCCATGAAGTTGGACATAGTCGGAATGTTTGCATCAGATCTAAATAAGTCCACATTTACACAGACCCATAACTAATGTCAGCAAGAAAAGAATTTGTGAAATTTTGGAAGCTGAAACCTAAACCCAGTCTAGCCTTACAGAGAAAAATAGAAAAATATACCATTGTGCTTGAAAAGAAGTAAGCTGGAAGGACAAGGAAAGAAGCTCTGGTGTTTTTACCATTAAAATACACATTAACATGATTAATATGAGGTCAGATGAATGTAATTTCTCGTTTTGTGGATTATCTTGTTTACAATGCCTGAATTGGGACTTAAAAGCCAAAAATATGAAAGGGAATAAAACAAATGAGGTGAAATGAGGTTAATGTCGCTGTCAAGATGATTGCTTTTAGAACTATGTGCATTGTTTGTGTATTGTTTCTTGTAATCGTCCAGACTGATGCTAGCCCACTGAGATACCTTGCCGCAGTTGAACATGGATACCCCACTCAGACACAGTATACTGATTCCAAGTCGACAAATTCTTGTTTTATCCCTTTATGCTGAATGCCAGGCAGGGTAACAACAAGTACCATCTTTTAACATCTCTTGGAATGACGTGACCAGGAAATTGTACCACTGACCTTCCGCTCTAGGGGCAGAAGCTATATCTACTAGACCAGTTAGAATAAAACAAAATATGTGCCAAATACGCATATTATGAAAAAGAGCATTTTCAGTTATTATTATACTTTCAAAGAACTTAGGGAGGAAGAAATAATCCAAGAACTTTAAAAAAAATAAGTTTTGTTCCATCTTAATTTTATGTTAATCATAAATACTGTTCATATATATTAACAGTGAAGTTTAACCTTTTGAAGAAATCCAATTCATTAGAATAACCAAGAGCTTCTTGAAATTACTTCAAAACCCCTGTATCACGTCAACCTTGTGGTTTCGCACACATAGCCTCTCTGCCCATAACTTAATTTTGTCTTTAAGTGTTTTCGTTTGAATGAACATAAATATACACAATTACTTCCATGTGTGATGCTGGGGATGTTTATTATCACTGAATGGGCGATGGCCATAAATGGCCTCATCATATATGTGGATTTATTTCAGAAAAAATAAACTCCTTGAAGATACTTATAAGACTCTGCTGATTTCACGTTATCCCTGGATGCATCTTGTGAAGTAGAATTAGACTATTTAGGTTCAGGTCTGTAAGTTTATTATAACAGAAACAGACATCCCTGGGCTAAATTGGAATATATTTAAAAGAAATATACATATTTTTGGTCCGATGTCAGGAAAGATAGTGATTTCGATGATGATATGGAGATACATGTAGGTTAATATACACACAAATATCGAAATAAACAACTTAAATTGACTTCACAATTTCTTTCATGTAAGTATTCTTGCAGAAATATACACAATAATTCTAAAATATTTACACAAGTGTAGAATCAAAACAAAAGTTCAGGGCGATAGGGTTTACATCTTGAATCTGAAGGTAGATGAATGAGTTTTAAAGATTCCCCGACGAACCCGGGGGACAAGATGATAGAATAAGGAGACACAGCCACAGAAGAACATGTTTAACAGAGGGGATCTGCCCTCCTGCACATAAACAGTTCTCTCAAGGAGTGGGTGGATTAACCTTTTTCAGCTAAGTGCAGATAGCTATTTCAAGTTGCTGCTTGTTTATGAGGGTTCAGGCTTTTGACCCTATAAATTTTACAGCACAGATTAAAATGCCTTTGTACTGAGGAGGTTGGTGATCCAGCCTTTGGTTATTTTCAAAATGCTTCTGAGAAGTGCTTATGTAATAAGTGTAGGTGAAAGTCCCATTTTGTGTTTATCTGTGTCGTTGACTTAAGTAATACATATTCAATTTTCTATGTTTTGATCAACATCAAAACACCCTGAAATTTCATTCTAAATTTTAACTATTTAATGTTTGATTTAGTTTTTGTTTGATGTATTTGTGACAGTCTGATTACACATGACTATACTAAATTGGCAATGTCAGCCAAGAAATCATCCCAATATACCAGATGTGATCGGAAACCTAGTAATTCATGTTAATGCTTGGGGCAGGTGCACCCAAGTTAGATAAATGTATGCAGATAATTGTTAAGGCTATTACCCAAAATTATCTTATGACCTGCAAACGGTGTACTGTAAATTAAATTCAGAGCTCACATAGTTTCAAAACTGACTGAGAAAGAAACAACAACACAAACATGTAAATCTGTAATGTTAATATTGAAAATATAACGGTCAATGTAAAATCAAAGGAATAACTACGGAAGAGAAATGAATATTTTGAACTTTCAAGTTCTGTTTGTAAAGTATATATATGTATAATACCTAATTCCAAGTCTTGAGCAAATTTTTACCCAAAGTTTGTTTTTTTCTTGAAAAAATTATCAAAATGTGTGTTTGCAAAGTATTATGTAATCTTAAACCATAAATGATATTGATGTCATAAACAATGGATGACTGATCAAGGGAGGTAACTTGGTTCATTTACAGCGGTGATGCGAGTTTTGTGAAACTGTGGACATGTATTCCGGACCTGTACGAATGAATGTCGGTAAGATATATTCATTGTCCACCAATCAAACCTTGAGGCACATGGAATGATATACCATGTGTGTGAGCCTATGTAACGATTGGGGTACATTGACTTACACACAGGGTACATCACAAAATGTACCCCTCAAGATCGGTTGACAACTCATAATGGTAAACAATCACAATAATATTTACCTTTTTCTCCTCATCCTTGACCACTGCCTCATGATATCGAGGAAGTCTTGCTTCGTATCGTACGCTTCTCTCCTCGTCTGCAATGTTGGCATTTTCAGCTTTGTTCTGGACCTCCTTATATGGTTCATATTCTCCTGGGCCTGGCCCACCCTTGCCGCCAAATTCCACACGTTTGGATGTCAGCTTACCGAAATGTACTCCTCTGTACTGCGAAGTTGGTTTTGTATCACCCTGAAAAAAATAAAATTGATAAAACTATTTTGTTCATTAGAAGATTAGACAAATAGACTGGACAACTGTATTGATGTGGGCAGTGAGTGAGTGAGTGAGTGAGTGAGTGAGTGAGTGAGTGAGTGAGTGAGTGAGTGAGTGAGTGAGTGAGTGAGTGAGTGAGTGAGTGAGTGAGTGAGTGAGTGAGTGAGTGAGTGAGTGAGTGAGTGAGTGAGTGAGTGAGTGAGTGAGTGAGTGAGTGAGTGAGTGAGTGAGTGAGTGAGTGAGTGAGTGAGTGAGTGAGTGAGTGAGTGAGTGAGTGAGTGAGTGAGTGAGTGAGTGAGTGAGTGAGTGAGTGAGTGAGTGAGTGAGTGAGTGAGTGAGTGAGTGAGTGAGTGAGTGAGTGAGTGAGTGAGTGAGTGAGTGAGTGAGTGAGTGAGTGAGTGAGTGAGTGAGTGAGTGAGTGAGTGAGTGAGTGAGTGAGTGAGTGAGTGAGTGAGTGAGTGAGTGAGTGAGTGAGTGAGTGAGTGAGTGAGTGAGTGAGTGAGTGAGTGAGTGAGTGAGTGAGTGAGTGAGTGAGTGAGTGAGTGAGTGAGTGAGTGAGTGAGTGAGTGAGTGAGTGAGTGAGTGAGTGAGTGAGTGAGTGAGTGAGTGAGTGAGTGAGTGAGTGAGTGAGTGAGTGAGTGAGTGAGCACCATGCCACCATGAAACAAAATCAACTAACTAACTGACCTAGACTGACCACCCATTTTGATTTTGGCTGTTTTTTAAGATAATAGGTTACTTTGGGGGGGGGGGGGGGGGGGCAGATGACCTAAAATGGTAAACCTGGATAAAAACTACCAACTGTTCCAAATATTCAAAAGATGCAGTTTCTTTGAAGGACATTTCCTACAGCTGTCTGGTCTGTTGGAAATACAGATCGCTACTGTCCAGCACTGATTGATCACAGAGGTGGCACTACAGATATGAATATTTTATGCTTGCACTTTGAATCACTTCTGGCTCACTGTAACTTCCTGATGAAACAAGCTGCATTGTTCGTCATCACATTTCTAGTTATATTCACACATATGCCATTTACTACTCATCACAAAATTGACAGAACCCTCATTTCAAAAATGGATCAACCACATGATAGAACAAGCATCTGGTAATCCTATTTAAGACAGGCCATCTTCATCATTCCCCGAAAGGAGTATTATTTATTAATTAAAGGAAAAATTATGGCTTGAGGCAAACAGCCTTAAAATTTGGCATTTTCATGAATTCGGGCAGAAAAAAATTCCTCTCAGGCAGATCATATCAATTTGGGCACAACAAATTATAAAAAAATAATTCATAAGATGTACCCTCACCTGTATTACTTGAACTTAAAAGTTACACAAGATAACAATTCAATAACAATTAATATTTCCATAATTTTATCTGTTAAAAAGTGTTATGCAGGCTCCTTCTTAACCATGCAAATATGTCACAATAAATTATAACTATTATTCAATATTTGTCATGTAAATAATCTTTTACCAAACCTGACTGCTTGTGTCTGTGCTAGTGATAAAATTTAAATACTTTAAGTTTTTAAATCACAGATATCTTAAAATTAAAGCCCCTCGTCACGCCAGTGACCTCATCATTGCATGTTTTGAGCTGTGGCAGCCAAAAAACAAAAGGGCCAATCTGTGGGAAAGATAATTATAAAATATGCATTATGAACGACAAGCGTTAGATGTATCCTCAGAGGAAGAGGTTGTCGCTAATGGCTGTCATTTGCTTAGTCTGTCAAGAGGGTTAAATCCTTTGTCCCATCAAAATCCATTCCCACTTTTCGTGACTTTTCTCATTAGTATGCAAATGTATTCATAAAAGCTTGCATCTCTACATTGTCTCTTGCTGACAGAGGTGTGATGGCTAGCTCGTCTTCACGTGATAATTAGACAATTTCCCACTAACAACTGACAGGCGGAATAAAAAATATATGGCAGTGTATCAACTGAACTTCCCAATGTTCTTTATCACTCCTCAGACCATGCTCTCTGCTTGCTCTCTGCAATCAACTGGCAATTAACATTAACACATGTTTAGTCCATATTGGTGAAATATTCATAAAGCTGAGGTTAATATTTTTGTGAGTGTGTACAATATGCTCTCTGCTTACTCTCTGCAGTCGACTAGCAATTAACATTAACACATTTTTAGTCAACATTGGTCAAACATTCATAAAGTTTAAAGTTTATATTTTTGTGAGTGTGTACAATATGTTTTCATATTCATTTTGCTAAACATGCTCTGATGAAATGACTGACAACTCTTCATATAACTCTTTTTTTTATACTTGAACTCAGTGGATGGTGTGTTGACAAGTAATTGACATTGGCGGAAATGTTGCTCAGACTGTAGAAAAGAACATGCAATATTTCCTTGTTGAATATATTCTCCTGCCAAATGTGACAACACTGACATTTCTGATTATGAATAAAACATTATATCTGTAACCTAGCTAAATACCAGGGTATAAATTCTGTTCTCTAATCCTGGCTTCTGCACTGCTACAAGAACAGATTTCAAATGTTTAAATGGCTAGTGATTATTTCTTTTTAAGTATAGTTTAGGGCTGGGACAGGTAACTCGTGTACCCAGGTCGGGTGAGTACTGAGTAGGACCCGGGTACCCACAGGACTACCCGGACCCGTGGTTAGTCATGTGATATATTGTTTATTGACAAATATTATCTAGAACTCTATGGTTACACTACAAGTCACAAATGTTTGCATTTCTTTCTGACTATGCACCCATTCCTTCTGACTTTTCATATCTTTGAATAAAGATATAACTTGAGTCAACTTCAGTGTATGCATGACCAGATTATTTAATACATGTATCTAAATATGTTTTGCCAGTGCTATGGTAAAAAATGTCCAATCGGGACATTTTTTACCTATCTCTTAATACCTACAGTGGGTACCCGGGTAGGGTAGGGTAATAGAGGGGTGGGTAACCTGGGTAGTAATTTCGGACTCGTCCCAGCCCTAGTATAGTAATGTTGTTTTGTTAGATTAATTTCTAGACCCAAATAAACATTGGACCAGATATATTCACCTGATGTCTACCCATGATTGTGTGTGTGTTTGTTGTTACCTAGTTCCCTGGAGACACACACAGATACCTAGTTCCTTGGAGACACACACAGATACCTAGTTCCTTGGAGACACATACAGATACCTAGTTCCTTGGAGACACACACAGATACCTAGTTCCTTGGAGACACACACAGATACCTAGTTCCTTGGAGACACATACAGATACCTAGTTCCTTGGAGACACACACAGATACCTAGTTCCTTGGAGACACATACAGATACCTAGTTCCTTGGAGACACATACATATACCTAGTTCCTTGGAGACACATACAGATACCTAGTTCCTTGGAGACACACACATATACCTAGTTCCTTGGAGACACACACAGATACCTAGTTCCTTGGAGACACATACAGATACCTAGTTCCTTGGAGACACATACAGATACCTAGTTCCTTGGAGACACACACAAATACCTAGTTCCTTGGAGACACACACAGATACCTAGTTCCTCGGAGACACATACAGATACCTAGCTCCTTAGAAACACACACAGATACCTAGTTCCTTGGAGACACATACAAATACCTAGTTCCTTGGAGACACATACAGATACCTAGTTCCTTGGAGATACACACAGATACCTAGTTCCTTGGAGACACATACAAATACCTAGTTCCTTGGAGACACATACAGATACCTAGTTCCTTGGAGACACATACATATACCTAGTTCCTTGGAGACACATACAGATACCTAGTTCCTTGGAGACACACACAGATACCTAGTTCCTTGGAGACACATACAGATACCTAGTTCCTTGGAGACACATACAGATACCTAGTTCCTTGGAGACACACACAGATTCCTAGTTCCTTGGAGACACATACAGATACCTAGTTCCTTGGAGACACATACAGATACCTAGTTCCTTGGAGACACACACAGATACCTAGTTCCTTTAAGACACATACAGATACCTAATTCCTTGGAGACACACACAGATACCTAGTTCCTTGGAGACACATACAGATACCTAGTTCCTTGGAGACATATACAGATACCTAGTTCCTTGGGCACACACAGATACTTCATTCCTTGGAGACACATACAGATACCTAGTTCCTTGGAGACACATACAGATACCTAGTTCCTTGGAGACACATACAGATACCTAGTTCCTTGGGCACACACATATACCTAGTTCCTTCGAGACACATACAGATAACTAGTTCCTTGGAGACACACACAGATACCTAGTTCCTTGGAGACACATACAGATATCTAGTTCCTTGGAGACACATACAGATTCCTAGTTCCTTGGAGACACACACAGATACCTAGTTCCTTGGAGACACATACAGATACCTAGTTCCTTGGAGAAACATACATATACCTAGTTCCTTGGAGACACATACAGATACCTAGTTCCTTGGAGACACATACAGATACCTAGTTCCTTGGAGACACATACAGATACCTAGTTCCTTGGAGACACATACAGATACCTAGTTCCTTGGAGACACACATGGATACCTAGTTCCTTGGAGACACATACAGATACCTAGTTCCTTGGAGACACATACAGATACCTAGTTCCTTGGAGACACACATGGATACCTAGTTCCTTGAAGACACACACAGATACCTAAATTCTTGGAGACACATACAGATACCTCGTTCCTTGGAGACACACACAAAGCACAATGTAAACTTAGTTCCGGGACATTTATTGTAAACCATTCCCATGGGACATTAATCATGTTAATAAACATGTTTTTCTTTGGCTTATTTATACAGAAGTTTACTTTCTTCCTGACATATGAAGAAATCCAGCACCTTTGGCACCAAAATAACTAGTTTCTTCAACATACATAAAAAATAGCTCCTTTGGTATAAATACAAAAATCTTGTTCTTTGAGACAGTTCACAGGGTTCTGAGAACAGAAACAGATTTTTGCAATGAATATTTTACAGACAACACTACATGTTTTTTTCCATCTCTGTCTGCCCCTACTCACCTTATCCACGAGGACCACGTACTTGTCCATTTTTTCCACTGACTTCTTATTTACTATATCTACAATACATGTATCTCATAAAACATATCCTCCATAAACAACATCCCATCCAAACAATTGAAGGAGAGTATGAAGCAATACCAACTGAAACTTGTGGCAGCACACATTAACAGTAGACCTGCTTGTACTAAGAACATTAGAAACATATATTTGTATTGGCAATATGTTTTTAATGCCATTCAGGTCAGCTTCACAAAACGTTTGGTGAACATTTGTTTTGGAACATCAAGCCATCTCAGAATACATGAAAATAAGATAATTTATTACCGCCAAAGGTTCTGAATGCTGAATGAGAAACCCACCCAGCCATGTTGAATATAAAGGACATGCGTCATGCAGTTACATGACAAATTGGGACTCCCTTCCGAGAAACTTAATGTTGATGACATTACCAACTAGCACTGAAGATTTATGTTCTTCGGTAAAACCCCAGTCAATTACATTCAAATTGGCTTTTAGGGTACTTTCAATCATTTATGACACCATCCCCTGAATAAACCATGAAGCAAAATATGTACTAATGTGATCCTAATACTACAAGACATTAGACAGCAGCTTTGATAATAGTCCGTTCAACTCTAAAATGCTATCCAAACAGATTAGCCCTCCTCAATAAAACTATTCGATATCTGTTAAAAGGTCACACCATATCCCATAAAGGTCACAGTTACTACACCACCTCGCATGCCCCTGAATACTAATGTCCTACAACTTGTCATTGTGTTAAAGTCACGTGAAATACAATACACCCACTGTCGAAATAAATGTATTGAATTTCAGAAGTGAAATGCCCTTTTGAAATGGCCATCACCATCTTTGTCCATCTCAATCTTTTAACGTCTAAACAGATTTCAGCTAATAAGATAATATTAGAAGCTTGAATAATTTTTCCCCATATTTAGCTTCATCAAATCACTACAAAGTTTTCATAACCTTATACATAATTAATTTCCTGCCATCATGTAGAGACGGTACACCCGAGGGGCAGCAAGCTGCAGCCCTGGTCCCCAAGATCCACGCCACCTCCAGCTTTGCTTTATGTATGGTCAGGCAGCCATGAACAATGTGATGGTATTGCTGTAAAGCTATCAATGCTCTAAAAAACTCAGCCCGGCTTGGCCAGAAGTCTAACAGTGTTTAATGATAGGATACCTAAATGGCTATGCGAGGCCGTGCCTCAGGGAGGGGCAGTATTCACAAGGCTAAGATAATGGGCAGGCTTGAGACTATAAGCCTTATGTACCGTACACACGGACAATACTGGATTAAAACCAATCGAAGAGGAGCTAATAATTAGAAATCTCGGGCTCGTTACAATTCTCGGACCAAATGTTTCCATGCTCTCCATCAGTTGCTCAATCTGTACAATATGTCACAGTCTTTGTGAAATCTTACAGATATTTTGATTTATACTGCTACTGTGGGTGCTTAACTTGAAACTGATAACTACAAGGAGCAACCTTTCTTCTTGGCAGATTAGGGCTGTGACACTGCCATGCTACAAATATCTTAATTACCACAAACTAATTATTTTTATTGAAAACTGCCATTGTCTGAAAAGCACATTTCAATTGTAGCAAGCAGATGCACAGAATTTAGTCAAGAATTTGCATTTTTAGTTGGTTTGTTAAGGCAGTAAAATGTTCAAGTAACAAATGATTATGTCCGACATAGGAGGAGTTAGCATCCATCATGAAGCTAGATATATTGCCTGCATGGGAGATTTTAATTCTAACAATGGTCGGGAATAATTTGACATAAAACAAGATTTGAGTAATTAGTAGAAGTGCCTGCCATTAACTATCTGACAATGTGAAGCAAATTTGAACAAATTACTTCAATTCTAAAAATTACAATTCCAAATTGACCCCTTACAAAATTGTACAGCATCTTTGGTTATGGAGCTTTATAATTGTCTTTGTTTGCAGGACTTCAAATTTATGAATGGCAAGAGTCTTAAAATATGGTTACACATATAATTTCTGGAGGAAAGTGAAAACACAAGGTAAGAGGAAAGACTTTTAAAATAAATTTAGAAAAGTCCTCTGTAAGCTACTTTCAAAATTTCATAATAATTGACTGAAATCTTGAATATCCTATTTCGTAAATGAAGCTAAAAGATAATGATACGTATACAATGTTGTGAACATTCCGTTCATGCACAGTAATCTGGTAAAACAAACAGTGCTGTTCATATACACACTTTCTTAAATGATGTCAAATTGCATGATATTAATTAAATTTATTTTCAAACATCTTAGAGGGAAATTTGAGGGATTGGATCAGAGGCAATGGCTGTTTAAAGGCAATTATCCCAAGACACAGGAATCTAACAGTTTCCCAGTGCTATTAAGGAGTTACTATTGACATTACTCTAAGATTAATTTGAATGGTTCTCAGCTAGTACAAAGCAGGGAAATAAGAGGACCGAGCTCATTAAAGAATGAAAGAGTATGACTTGCTCCACCTACTTGAGCTGGATTATAGAATGCAGGTCCAAGGGAGCGGTCTCTACTGGGAGGGTCCTGTTTCTTCAGTGTCCCATCTTCAAACTCCTCATAACCATATGCCTGTCCAGGGTAGGGAATGGATGGTGCCTCAGGTTTACGGTGGAACTTGATTCTGTTTGTCATCAACTGAAAAGAGACACAAATTCTTATGGAGTTGAACTTTGTTAATCTGAGGCTTATTTGACAAAGACTTTGTGCTACGGCTGTTGCATCTTCTATACCTTAGCACAGACTTAGTTGTGGCGCTAAGATCACTTTATTAAACAGCACCAGTTACTGTTTGGTTCATACCAGAGAAGACAAATAATTATTCTCAAACTCACATGCTTGAGTTAGTGAGATGCGTATTACGCCACTCTCAACAGTATTCCAAGTATATCATAGCACCTCAGCTTGATGTGGGAGGAAAGCCCAAATTAATGCAGATCTCAGACGTTTTCAACTTTGGTGAAAACCACGAGCATGGATATGGTGATGATAAAACTAGAAACATAAACGGGGCGATCCAAGATTTGAACCCACAATCACAGGTTTCAGGCATGTCCAAGGGAGACAATTCTGCACAACGCATTCTGGGGCCTAAGACGATTGGGCCACCTATGTCCCCAGAACTCAAGTAAATCATTGTAACATGTCCGAAGGATATCTTTGACATGGAGAAGTTGGTTCAGTGGGACAATGCATAACTGTGTGTGCTAGATAGGTTTGGAAATGAGTTGTGAGATAAATGGCATTTAGCAGGCATGAGGGCAGTAATCTGTTTCTAATAATCCTAGAATCGCACCATCTTAGCATCGAATCGATGCATATTTTCATTCCCATGGTCACTGTGGAGTATTATTACACAACAGCCATGAGCGATGTAATCTGGCTTCCTGCTTACGACTGATACCTAGTGTGTCCCTCCAAAGAAAGGTTTCTGCTATATCTTTGCATGAGTAACTTATCAATAAACTACAATAAGGAAAGGGGCCTGTCCTTATCTAACCTAGTCATCACCATGACTTAGCCAATCAGGGACCTTGAATCCGATATCACATATATGTTTTATACCAGTATATCAAATGGCTTTCTCACCAACAGGTGTGATAAGAAAACATATTTCCAAACTGACGAAACGTTGACTATTTGTTGGAAACTGTGACTGTATATGAGACAGAATTTTTACTCCAACAGAGATTGTTTCAAAAAATCTCCATCATACCTCATTGGCATAGCCCTCAATACACCCGTGAAGATCCGGGTTAGAATAGGTCTTGAGCAACCCATGCTTGCCGTAAAAGGTGACTATTCTTGTCGTAAAGGGCGAATGATGGGATTTGGTGGTCAGGCTTGCTGACTTGGTTAATGCATGCTATCGTATCCCAATTGCATGGATCGATGCTCATGATGCCAATCATGAGCATGGATTGATGCTCATGATGTCAATCACTGGATTGTCTGGTCCAGACTCGATTATTTACAGACTGCCGTCATATAGCTAAAACATTGGTGGGTGCGGTGTTAAACAACAAACCCTCAAAATCAGTTTCTTAACAGTATCACAGGCGAGAGGAAAGATCATATGATTTGACAAATAACCTGTTCCTGAAATTGGTTGGGCCATTACTAAAGGAATAAAGAAATGCCTTGATGATTTAAGAAATCATGAAACGCAACTCACAGCTCCCTTTGCTTGAGATCGGAGTTCCGGGGCAGACTTGGATTGTCGGAACTCAATTCCCATGTCAACCTGATAGGCTCCAGGACCTGGAGTATCTTTTTCTGCTTGGTTAAACCGCTTGGATCTGTTCGCTAAAGTGCGTCCACCCTGAAAAACACATATATCATAAGTGCTGCCAAACCTTTATTGATATTGCTAACTGCCGTAAAAATCAGGTCTGAAAAAGAAAATCCCTTGAAATAATGTACAATTTCTTTATTTATTTTACACATTTTTACAAGACCAGTTTATTCAAGAACAAACAAAAGCAAATAAGAAAACAAAATCAAAAAGTATGTTTGATTGAAAATGTTACTTTTCATAACATCCTTTCGTTTGCAACTCTGTTCAAACATATTTCAAGATTTGTAAACACTTAACCTTCATTTCATCTCCTGCTTCATGTCATATTGACTGAGAAAATCCATGAAGGAAGAAAATATATTGATCTGGCCTTGTGAGTGTTTTTGAAATGATGATGCTGTCAAACAAGTAAGATAAAAAAAGCTTCAAATGAAGAAATTTAGTAACTATGAATATAATTAAAATACTATGATAAGCATAGACAGTTACTAAGATGACATTTGTCATTCTTGCAGACTGATAAATTGTAGCCAAAGGGAGACAACTCACTTTAACAGTATCCTGTGGCTTGGCAGGATCATAATGGCCTGGCCCAGGAGCAGCCACAACCTGGTCAGTGACATTGAGGAATGTCTCTCGACTCGTCATAGACAAAAAAGGAGCATATCCATCTGGAACATTACATACACACTTGTCAGATATATAAAACTCCAAAAAAGATTAAAGTTATTGTGGACAGGTATTCATGCAACTGCTGCTCCTTTCAAAAAATAATTAAGCAGAAGTATAAGGGAAAGTCAAATATTGCATATAAATAGCATTGAAATATTAGAAGATTATTTTGAAATGAGTTTATATTATTAATAATAAAGTTGATAAATGACTGAAGCAAAAAATACATAGATACAGAGGGGGATGCAGGGGACAGCACTCCACTTTTTTTAAGCATACTCAATACAACATTTAAGCGTATATAAAACATAACTAAATCATTTCAACATAAATATCACAATTACAAAACGCAAATGGGAGGCAAATTACTTGCATTCATCTAGAATGTTAAGTGCACCTGTACTTTTCCAAAAAGCTGAATACAGCATAAATTATAAACATAGAAAGAACTGACGTTTAAAATGAATAATACCTTTGGCAAAATAATTATATCATTTCAATATCATGAAAAATAAATACTGGTGAAAATATATATATTAGAGCTCCACTCCAGCTTTTGTAACAACAGATAGAAAAGTGCTATACTTTAAGATGTGGTTCAACTTCAATCTGAGATAAATGCATAAATATATAAGAAACAAAATGAATGAATAAGTAGAAAGTTAATTGTTAAAATAATATTCAAACAACCTAATATTGCATACATACCTGCTTTTAATCTGGCCTTGTTAGCTGCAGATGCATCATAAGATCCGGGGCCAACATTATGAGGGGTACTCCCAAAGGTCTGAACTAAATCACGAGGTGCTCTGTCATACATGGCCACAGCTTATCTGGAGCATGCATAAATAGTAGTTGAAAATCACAAAGAATTGTCAAGCTCATCTATTATGCAATAGATAAATAACATTTATTTACATGGGAAAGGTCATAATCGTGAAAGAAAATCCATTTTAAAAGCTGAATACGTCTCACTTACAAAAATATGACAGAAAAAAACAACTCTTACTCCTTATAGGTACATTATAGCTAGTGACAAAGTAAGACACCTTTAGATGCTTGAGTGGGAACAATATCCACCGTACATATATGAATCATTAACACATTTCATCAAAATCAAAGATCGCATTCAATTACTTTCTTTTTGACTAGCATATTGGGAAGTCCTGTGGGCGGGAAATCATACTCACCAGTTCAGATATCCTCTGGTATTGCGCGATTCAAGGACCAAAACAACAATCTTCAAACATCCATGATCATTACAGTTGTATGTTGCCATGGAGCAATATGGCGGAAGGAGAAACCGATCGATTTGAGGCAGTCGTTCCGTAGTCGTTTTATCGAACCAAAACGTGTTTGCTATGATAATGGTCACATATTCACTAAATACAAACCGGGTATAGCTGGGCTGTATAGAACTAATAATCTAATTGTAAGTATAACGTTCGCATTACTTTTGCGACAACCAGAATTCTTCTAAGTTCCTGTTTTGGCGGGAAGGCGTGATCAGCTGTTCGACGGCAATACATCCACTTAATATTGCGATATACAACGTTCTTGTGGTATTTAGTCCATGACAGTGGTAAGCACATGTTTAAACATCCGTAAATATGCTTAGACTCGCATTTGCATGAAGTCTCCACCGTTTTTGTCGCTGATATGCGTCTTTCTTCTGTCTTCAAAGATGTAAACATACATTATTGAAAATCAACGACAACACTGATCGGTTTTCAAGATCAGCTTACAGTGGGAATTAGACAAGTACACAGTAGATGCAGGGTGACCAAATTTGGCATATGTTGAATGTGTAGAATCAAATGGTGCCAGTACACGGTGCATTCTAATCCGTAGAATAGGCACCACGGACTGATGCCATTACAAACAACACATAAGAAGGCCTATATAATTAGTGAATTGTGTGATTGTCATTATGTGTTTAGTCATAATAAAAAGCATGTATCAATTGTTTAGAAGCTTTGATATTTGAAACTGACACGACAGGGAAAGTGTTGTCTGCAAGTCCTAATATCAGATTTGAATTAGTTGTTATACTGCATGCTCATATAATCACATATATATTTATCGAGATTTGTGTCACTGTCATATCACATGTTATGACCATACTATTAATATAGGTTACTTCTTGTTCCTTTTATGAGAGCATATTTCTTCATTAATTTGGAACTGCAAGAAATAAAAGCAAATCAAATCTATTTCAGATTGTCAACAATGAGAACTCGCAGTTCAGCAAGCAAGGCAGATGAGATTCACTTCATTACTGGAGGGGGAGGCTACCCTGGCTTTTGTCTTGGGAAGAATTTGATAGAAGAAGGACATAAAGTTAAATTGTTTGACATTCAGGAACCTGTATGGGATTTATTGCCTGGAATGGAGTTTATTAAGGTAAACAATTATTAATCTGTCAACTTGAATATTTCATAGATGATATTAATTGTATTGGTACATTTCTGTAGTAGTACTAGTACTTTGCACGACAGCGCCCTCTTCTGCAGAGTTCTGTAGTACTACAATGACATATGTATTTTTGCATTTGCTAAAAAACTAGCACACCTATTTTGAGAACTTAGAAGTTTTCTAACTTTTTCCATTTTCTTAAATATCATGATTCAATAAAAAAAATGGTCTAGATCTGAAACATGAAAGACAAGTTATCTTCTTATCACTGTTCCATTATCCTCACATATATGTAAAGTATGTGTGAGTATTTCATTGTATTATGTATAAATCTGGCTTTCCAGGCTCATGATATTTTCTGCAATCAGTATGTATCATAATTTTTGTGTTGTCATCAATGCAGCGATAGAAACTAACAGGTTTAGCCCACTAGTCCTTATAATGATGACACGTAGCAAAACCCTTAAAAGGGGCAATTTCTGCAAGTCCTTATGATACCTTAACTAGTGGACAGTTTTGCATGGACTAAATGACTAGTGCCAATTTCTAACGCTGCAGTGTCAGCAGCTTCAGGGGCATGATATAGATTATTCAACACAATATACAAATGTATCCTCATGTTTCTGAATTCCATTTATTTGCATGTTCATGATTCCATTTAAACAGACTCCAAGCTCTGTTTCCAAACTGATCGTCTCATATTCCGTCATAACTGTGTTACATAAACCATTGCACTTGTGTTTGCGTCTTTAGCGAATGTAGAGTGTTAAGGTACAAAAAATAGTTTGCAAATAGTTGTTTTTCTGTTAGTGTATTTGTTGATGTAGTTTGGGAGATCATGTAAAACATATGTACACTGTGCTGATATTTTGTTTATGTCAGTAAGTGCCATTATGGAGATGCTGGTTTGGAGGAAGAAAAAGTACTGCGAAAACATGATGCTATGCCTCCCATGCACTGAGGCATGTTGCATCTATAACTGGGATATGCTTAAGTTTGTTCAAATGACTTATCCCTTGACATGTCAAGAACACGTGTTATGCTTGGAACATCTACAGAAATAAACATCTCCAACATTGGTGTTTGGGAGCTAGCCTTTACCTTGTGTCAGGTTTAAAGGTCAGATCTTGTCAATATACATAAAGATGATGATAGGTTAGACATATGTGTTTGGAGGCGAAGAAAATTGTGGCATCCATTGTCATGGTAGTTAAGTTATCGTGATGTTTCTTATCTGTATGAAGTTGTTTTCAGCATTTAAAGTCTCCACAGATCTCATATGAGTATATGTGATCAAAGTGTAAAATGGGATTTCATAAAAAATAAATATATTTCAAGTGAATGCATGATATTTGTTTAGCTAATAAAGGATTTTTGTGTGTTCAATAAACTGATAAACCAAAATAAAGCCTCGACCATGAACATACTTCTGTCTCCTGATTGGCTGATAATAGAATGGGCGGGGCTTGTGTTGCATCATTGCATTGAATGATGTCACTGATTTTGTATTGTCGTCTACAGTTTGTTTTTGGTTAATGATTAAGTAAGTAGTTTGTGAAGATACTATTGTTGATGTATTTATTCATAAGAATTGACTGCAATATGTTTTGTGTTTTGGGAGTTAAAAACATAAAAAAGCTGTGTGCACACTTGGTGTAAATCTTTCATAAATGCAATTTTGTATCAAAGTTAATTCTTTAATGTAGTTGAAATGTATAAATACATTTACATACTGACCGTCTCTGTCATCCTCTTTAGAAGCTTGTAAAAATGGCTGTTTTCCTTCCCCTTGTCAGCACAAGGTCAGTTAAAGAAAGCAAATTTGTTAAGATAAAAATTCCTTTTCTTTGTCTAGTGTTGCAGTTCGATCCTTTTCCCGAGAAAAACACACATGCAAACCCTACCTTGACTCTTCACCCCTGTCGTCCATGATTGTTTGTTGTAGTAACCATGGTTACCTTATGACTACGGTCCAGTAGACAACCATTCTTCAGTTGATTCCATCTTTAAATCTGCAGTGAAGAGATTAGATATAAGATATATGTTTGTCATACATCATGCTGACTTGTAATTTGTAGTGTGAAGGACTCTCATGATTCTGGTTGTAATAGGCATGATGAGGTGATACTTTTAAAACGTTTATTAGGTTACATAATGGCAAAAATCCAAAGAAAACAAAACATTGAAATTACATATTTATATAATTATTATATAATATATTGGTCTTGCTGAGGATGCTGTCCCTGAATTCTGAGAATTTTGTACTATTCTCCTAGCAACTGTACTTTGGAGTATCATGACCTTGGAAAATATGAGAATAACCATTCTCTAAATATTGTGAAACATTGCTAAACAACTGCATTTTTTCAAGAGAGACAGAGATCTGCCAGTTATACAATGCTGAAAACACCTGTAAACTACACGTAACTAGGTCTTGTTCCACATATCTCACATTGTCACACGCCCTCAGCAAAGGTTCTGATTTGAAAGTAAATAAATAAACCAAGAAGATGTGTGTCTGACTTTGTGTAGAAATAGACTGGGGAAAAGTGGTGCCATTTGGATATGTTTACATTTTGTCAGTTACCTCATCAGTAGTGAGTGATAACAAGCTTTAATGTGATAGCCACATAAATATCCTCAAATTGTTTTGAGAAACAAATGTATAAACATGGTGGTTATTTACTAATACTTAAAGCCCCTTGGATTGGAATTAAGATACTCTTATGTCTTTTCTTTGCCTTCGGTGACATTGGGTCAGGAGGGTGTGTTTATCATGGCGCTGCACAAGGGAAGAGTGTGTGCACAGTTGAAGCTGTGGAGGAATACAGGACATATATTCAAATTATCTTCCACATCTCCTGGTCTCCTGGTTTTCATGTATCAACGAGATTGCTTTGAAGTATTTCTTTTGAGTTTAACTTCTTAGGGGTGGGGTATGTTGGGGTTGTTTAATGCAGAAGGAGGGAGGGGACATGGGATATGTAAAGGGGAGGCTATGTAGGGAGGGGATATGTAAAGGGGAGGCTATGTAGGGAGGGGATATGTAAAGGGGAGGCTATGTAGGGAGGGGATATGTGAAGGGGAGGATATGTGAAGGGGAGGCTATGTAGGGAGGGGATATGTAAAGGGGAGGCTATATAGGAAATGGATATGTAAAGGGGTGGCTATGTAGGGAGGGGATATGTGAAGGGGAGGCTATGTAGGGAGGTGATATGTAAAGGGGAGGCTATGTAGAGAGTGGATATGTAAAGGGGAGGTTATGTAGGGAGGGGATACGTTAAGGGGAGGCTATGTAAGGAGTGGATATGTAAAGGGGTGGCTATGTAGGGAGGGGATATGTAAAGGGGTGGCTATGTAGGGAGTGGATATGTAAAGGGGTGGCTATGTAGGGAGGGGATATGTAAAGGGGTGGCTATGTAGGAAGTGGATATGTAAAGGGGTGGCTATGTAGGGAGGGGATATATAAAGGGGTGGCTATGTAGGGAGTGGATATGTAAAGGGGTGGCTATGTAGGGAGTGGATATGTAAAGGGGTGGTTATGTAGGGAGGGGATATGTAAAGGGGTGGTTATGTAGGGAGTGGATATGTAAAGGGGTGGCTATGTAGGGAGTGGATATATAAAGGGGTGGTTATGTAGGGACGGGATATGTAAAGGGGTGGTTATGTAGGGAGGGGATATGTAAAGGGGTGGTTATGTAGGGAGTGGATATGTAAAGGGGTGGCTATGTAGGGAGTGGATATGTAAAGGGGTGGCTATGTAGGGAGGGGATATATAAAGGGGAGGCTATGTAGGGAGTGGATATATAAAGGGGTGGCTATGTAGGAAGTGGATATGTAAAGGGGTGGCTATGTAGGGAGGGGATATATAAAGGGGAGGCTATGTAGGGAGGGGATATGTAAAGGGGTGGCTATGTCAGGAGTGGATATGTAAAGGGGTGGCTATGTAGGGAGGGGATATGTAAAGGGGAGGCTATGTAGGGAGTGGATATATAAAGGGGTGGCTATGTAGGAAGTGGATATGTAAAGGGGTGGCTATGTAGGGAGGGGATATATAAAGGGGAGGCTATGTAGGGAGGGATATGTAAAGGGGTGGCTATGTCAGGAGTGGATATGTAAAGGGGTGGCTATGTAGGGAGGGGATATGTAAAGGGGTGGCTATGTAGGGAGGGGATATGTAAAGGGGTGGCTATGTAGGGAGGGGATATGTAAAGGGGAGGCTATGTAGGGAGTGGATATGTAAAGGGGAGGCTATGTAGGGAGTGGATATGTAAATGGATGGATATATAAAGAGATGGATAATGTTGTAAAGTGGGATATATATGGATAGTTATAATATTATGAACAAAACTGTTATGAACAAGGAATTAAACTGAATTGTGTTCTAGTTGATCTCTGTATTCATTTTCAAAACATCAACCCATGGTGATGATGATTTCACAAAAACATCCACAATAAATTGCAGAAGAGGAAGGTGAAGGGACTTTCCCCACTGTATCACCAACACATAGGACTGCCACCCTGTTGTCTTGGAACCCGTTCCACAAAGCGATCTTAGTGCTAAGTTGGTCGTAACTGCCATACTTCAGCATAGGCTTACGATCAACGTAGCACTAAGATCGCTTTGTGGAACGGGGCCCTGGTAGGTACTGTAGCTCCTATATCTGTTTACAACTTAACTGATTTTGTCAATTTCCAATTTCCATCGTGGTCATGAATGTTGAATGTGTGTTGAAATCAACAGAAATGTTTTACACTCTGTGGAGTGGGGACCATGTTGTTCCCGGCCACACCTGTTTACAAATAACACCTGCTCCATCAAAATATTTACCAATGTTTACAGACAGGTTTCCTGTCAACTTAAAACATGTCCTCCGTATCTAAAACAACCTTCCTGCAGCAGGGGGGCAGCTTGATAAGATGGTGCTGAAATGTCAGCCCGTCAGCTGATAGCCATTTGGAGAGGGACTTTTTCTAGAATGAAGACAGTGTTAGGGTATATCTTTTGGACAAATAAATACAGATGCTGATCACCCAAATGGTAGCCATTGAAGAAATGCTGCCAATTTGTCAAGCTGAGATAATTTTGTTGAGTTAGTTTTGTGTGTAGGCCTATAGATGATAACTATTTGAAATTTGATTTCATTGTCACAGATTTTAAATACAGTCATTTGTGAATGTCATTCTGTAATCAGTAATATTGACAGTAAGTTGTGCTATATAATACTTTATCATGAGTAGGTAACACTGCCACCATTAGCCTAGCCTTGCTTCCAGGCTGAACTGAAAGAAAAGTCCATGGATGTGTAGTAATTCTATCCTAATAGGCAAGTCTAGATATGTGTAAAGACTCCACAACTTGTTCTTATTATTTACATAATCTAGAAATTATTATTTAAACTAATAATTATTTAATATTACCTTAGAGACTTGTGCAAGTCATTGGTCATTGATTGGTCCATGTCAGTAGGAAGACTTTATCAGACACATCATATTTCTTTGTTATGAACAACCTGTCTCTTAATGTGGGTAACTCAGGATAGATTGCCCCCACTCCTTGCAAAATTGACAAGGTAAGGATGTAATCTGTGGGATGACGCCACATCCTGCTACACTGACAAGGTAAGCATGTCATCTGTGGGATGACGCCACATCCTGCTACACTGACAAGGTAAGCATGTCATCTGTGGGATGACGCCACATCCTGCTACACTGACAAGGTAAGCATGTCATCTGTGGGATGACGCCACATCCTGCTACACTGACAAGGTAAGCATGTCATTCTGTGTGATGACTCTACACCCTGCTACACTGACAAGGTAAGCATGTCATTCTGTGTGATGACTCTACACCCTGCTACACTGACAAGGTAAGCATGTCATCTGTGGGATGACGCCACATCCTGCTACACTGACAAGGTAAGCATGTCATCTGTGGGATGACGCCACATCCTGCTACACTGACAAGGTAAGCATGTCATCTGTGGGATGACGCCACATCCTGCTACACTGACAAGGTAAGCATGTCATTCTGTGTGATGACTCTACACCCTGCTACACTGACAAGGTAAGCATGTCATCTGTGGGATGATGCCACATCCTGCTACACTGACAAGGTAAGCATGTCATTCTGTGTGATGACTCTACACCCTGCTACACTGACAAGGTAAGCATGTCATTCTGTGTGATGACTCTACACCCTGCTACACTGACAAGGTAAGCATGTCATTCTGTGTGATGACTCTACACCCTGCTACACTGACAAGGTAAGCATGTCATTCTGTGTGATGACTCTACACCCTGCTACACTGACAAGGTAAGCATGTCATCTGTGGGATGATGCCACATCCTGCTACACTGACAAGGTAAGCATGTCATCTGTGGGATGACGCCACATCCTGCTACACTGACAAGGTAAGCATGTCATCTGTGGGATGACGCCACATCCTGCTACACTGACAAGGTAAGCATGTCATCTGTGGGATGACGCCACATCCTGCTACACTGACAAGGTAAGCATGTCATCTGTGGGATGACGCCACATCCTGCTACACTGACAAGGTAAGCATGTCATCTGTGGGATGACGCCACATCCTGCTACACTGACAAGGTAAGCATGTCATTCTGTGTGATGACTCTACACCCTGCTACACTGACAAGGTAAGCATGTCATCTGTGGGATGATGCCACATCCTGCTACACTGACAAGGTAAGCATGTCATTCTGTGTGATGACTCTACACCCTGCTACACTGACAAGGTAAGCATGTCATCTGTGGGATGACGCCACATCCTGCTACACTGACAAGGTAAGCATGTCATTCTGTGTGATGACTCTACACCCTGCTACACTGACAAGGTAAGCATGTCATCTGTGGGATGACTCTACACCCTGCTACACTGACAAGGTAAGCATGTCATTCTGTGTGATGACTCTACACCCTGCTACACTGACAAGGTAAGCATGTCATCTGTGGGATGATGCCACATCCTGCTACACTGACAAGGTAAGCA